TTAGAGAATAATCTATAATACTTTACGGACAAAGTAATAGTAACCTAAAGGCCTACCTAGGAATCCTTTAGGGGAAATATTATTTATAGTTAATAGTAGATCTAATAATATCCTTTCCTAATAAAATAAACGTATATATAGTATTAGAGAAAAGCCCTAGCGTTTTATATAGCCCAAGGATTATATTACCTAGATTGAAGAGAACCGATTATAAAGGTTTAGAAGTATAGAGATCTTTCCTCGTTACTAATTATATAATAGTCTTAATATTATAATTAACCTTCCTCTATTTTAATATATATTAATTAGATTTATTAAAGAAAATAATAGTGAAAGTTTTTCGTTATTTAATTCTTTATTATTCAATTCTTCCTCTTCTACTTCTATAATATAATAAAGAGAGGTTAGAAGATTAATCTCTTCCTTAAATAATATTTATTTACTCCTAGATTCTTCTCGAAATTCAATTCCAACCCCAATTCCGCTTTAATAAATTATAATTTATTCTTAGAATTTAAAGATAATAAATTAGCCGTCCTCTACTCTAATTTTATTTCGTTTAGCAATATTGTTACCTCTCAATCCTTATTCAATTAGGAAACAAAGTGCTTTTATTTAGTTAATTATTAATAATTAAATATATTGTAATTTAATACTAATTATATTTAACCCTTCTAAGGAAATTAGAATTCTTTCTATTAATATTCTAATAAATCGTATATAATTACAAACTCCTTTTCCGCCTAGAAATATAAGAATTCTTAAATTATTATTAAAAAATAGAATTCTATCGGTTCCGAGAAGTATTAGCCTACTAAGTACTTTAGAATTACCTATAAATTTAGTATAAATATTTATTTAAGTAAAGAAGATTAATTAATTATTAATCCCTTTAAATTTTAAGAAGCCTTCGAATTTATTTATTCCCTTTAATTCCTTTTAATATAGGCGTATACTATTAAACCCCGTACTTATATCGTAATAAAGATCATCCTTAACATCCGAATTTGAAAGCTTTTACTTAATTAGAGAAACTCCTATTACCGGCCAAAGCCTAATAATTAATTAACTACAAGTAGCAATACTATTTAATTTTAACTCCTATAAATTTATAATAAACTCTTTAATCTACTTTATTCGCTATATAGAGCGCGATTTAAATAATTTTCTTAAATATAATCTTAATAACCCTTCCTAAGTTATAACGGAATTTAAAGAAAGATTTAATCTAAATATTCATTCAAAACTATAAGGACTTTTATAATTTATTAGAACGATTTAGGACGATATTATTCGGAGAATAAATAATTATTTCCTTACTAAAAGCGTTAGAGAAAGATATTTAATTGTTAAAGGTAAGAGAGGATATAAGGGTAATAGAAATAATAGAGAAAGGTATTAATAATATATATATATATATATAAAAGTAAATCTATTTAGGGGACTTGTTGTAGATTTAAAGGGAAGATTTGATTTAGGGTAGTATATAGGAATATATATATTAGTTTTTAGTAGTGATTTTTTTCAAAAATTTTCAAAGTATATAGGATTAGGGAAGTACTTTCTAGATTGAGTGATCCTAGATAGTTAATATAAAAAAAGAATGGAAAAAGAAGGAGATTGAATATAAGGAAATAGGATAGGAGATTAATAGAATATTAACCTTTCGTAAAGCTAAATAATTAATTTTTAATTCTTTAGTAATTTTTAGTTATATAAGATTAATTTTTAATAGTCGCTAATTATTTATCTTTATTTATTTAGTATGCTGAGTGATCTTTTATCCTTCTTAAGGAAATGTTTATTTATATCCCTATTTATATCCGAAAGAAAGATATAGAAAGATCCGATAATTACCTTCGTTTTCCAGCGAAAACTGAATATTAAGCCATTCAACAAATGCGTGACTCTAATGAGTCGTATTTAGTTTAATACTTCCTATTTCGACTATTCGAAAAGATTTGAAAATTATTTACTACTCTACCTAATTAGATAGTTAAGAGTTATGGTCCTTATGTATTGTGCTGGTCGTAGTGGTGTTGGTGTTGTTGTTGTGGTTTTCTCGCTATTTCAATAGTTAAAATTGAAAAGGCGGGGGTTCTTATACCTATTTAATAGTTTTTATACGCTTTCTAAAATAATCCTACAGTTATATACCGGCTTTATTAAAAGGGAAATAGTAAGGTTAATAGTATAAAAGATTTTAAAAACGATAGAAATAAAAAGTTTAATTATTATTATAATAGTGACGGTCCTATCGATTGTATATTTTAAATTTACAATTAATATATTAATTAGTAGAGGAAGAATTTAGAAGTATAATCTTTAAATTGTATTTATAAAGTTAATTAATTTGATATGCCGTTATTATAAATTAGTAGTTTAATAATTATATATATTATATTTAATATTGATTATTATTTACTAAGTGGCGAGAAGGAGGAATCCTTTGCTTAGGTTCTTTAAGTATTTAAGCGTTTGCTTATTAATAAGAATATTAATTGTTTACGAATAATTATTACTAATTATAATTATATATTTAAGTGTATTGCCTATAAAATCTTTAATTATAATATTTAGTATTAAATTTACTTATAGTATATTATAAAGAATATTGTGTTTAATATTAAAAAGAAGTAGATTAGTATATTTAATAGAATTATTCTTAGCGAGAGAGGTAGTAATAGTAGTTATTTGGGAGTAGATGACGATAGGATTAATAAAGTTAATACAGTTAATTTTATTAATCCCGCTAATAATAATAATAATACTTATTAAATCGGTATTAAATTTCTTTTAATAGAAGATTAATAATAATATTTAAATAAAATAACCCGTAATATTCTTAACGGTTAATTCAATACGTATACCTCTATTAGTTCTAGTAGAGAGTAGTTTAATAATACGGACGGGATTTTAATTGTATAGGTAATTGTTGTTTATTTTAATATTAAACCCGATTTTTTTTAATGTTAATGGATATTAATAGTTGAATTTCCTATACAAAAGTGTAAGTCTTTATTTATACGAATTTCTTAGTATTAGTATTAATTATTTTTTATAACTATTATTAAGTATTTATTTAAAGTTTATTTACTTATATATTGCGAGTTTGTATAATTCTATATTAAATTGTATTGTAATTTTGGAATTTGTATTATATTTCGTATTAAAAATACTTATAGCGTTCTTAAGAAACTATTTAAGAACTATTTTGTCGATTTTAATATTCTATTAGGTATTATTAAAAGTAGTCTCTCGTAGTTAAAGGAGAAGTTTATTATACGATACATTAAGGAGACCTCAAAGCGTGTATGTAAATATAATGCCCTTATATTAAAAAAGCTACAGTATTTAGTAAGCTTTACTACTTTTAAATTAGTTTTATAACAAATTGAATTTGCAGAATCGTAAATAAAAGTATATTTACTATACGAGCGCTTAATCTATACCAGTCAATTTTATAAGTAATATAGTCTCCTTTATTAGTATGAGATTTATATTTTATTCTTAGGTAATATACGGTTGAATTTATAGTATATTAATTTATATTAGTAGTTTAAATTCAATATTATAAATTTTTTATTTATTTTTTACCCCCGACTATTTATTAGTATAAATATATTAAATTGACCAGTACTAATTACTTTTTGTAGAATTTCTAATTCTAATTAATAAAGAAAACCTAGATAAAATTGTAATACATCAAAATAATTATAATACGCTAATTATTAATAGTCCTTAACCTATCCTTTAGAGTATTTACTTTGAAAATTTCCCGCTATAAGCGCGGAATAATAATAAAATTTATTACAACCTAACTTACAATACCCCGCAACCGCCGCCTAAGAGATAACGGCTTACGTTAATATAAATTATATAGTAGTAGTTTTAATAGATTAATAACTTTATAGGTATAATTAATATGCTAGTAGTAATAATTAGGAATTAATAGCCGGTAATAGTTATAATACCCTCAATATTATAATAAAGGGGTAATAGAAATGTGCTTCCAACGCCCTTATAAGGAGTTGCTAGACGGTGGAGAGAGGGGATTATACGATTTTAGCGATATTTGTATTTTTATACGTAATAATATATTATACTACTAGAGCGCTTTAGAATATAATCGGTTTACAATTTTATATAAAATCCTTTATAAATGTTATGCCTATATTAATTTGGTGGGGATTACAGCGTAGCTAATATTTATATAATATATAGGACCAGAAAGTAGGACTATAGCTGGGCCTTCTCCTTCAGGTTAGAGATCCGTCATATTAGCGAGGCATACAGTCACTTTATCCGGTTCGGTAGGAAGATGTATTCCAAAATACTGTATTTGGATTGTTTGGTAGTAATTTATATTAATATTTTTACTTAATTGAGATCTAAGTTTGACCGGACTCACTTTCTTTCCTTCTTTCCTTTTTTTTTCCCATTTTTTTGGAGGGGAGTATATTTGGTGAAAGTATATTACCCTATCCAGAATAATAAGAGAAGTGACTAACTATTTCTTGAAGGAATTTACGAAAATGACCGATCGTGAGTTAATAGACTTTTACCTTATCTTTGCAGTAGGATATTATCGATTGAAAAGATTAGTTAAATTCCTTAGAGCTATGCCCTAAGCGGTTAAGTAGTCTAGATATAGGGAAGGGGGGTAGTCTGTCTGTAGCCCGGCTCCATGCTATTGATGCCGTTCAAAAGCGGAGTAGCTCTGGGAGACGAGGGGGTCCTGTCACTCGCAGATTCCGTGTCAAAGATGGCAGTTGAATTTTATGAGATGACAATTGAAGGATAACCAAGAGTAGAGATGACACAAAACGACCTCCTGACTTGTTGTCCTCGAAGCTGGTGATGGAGGCTTCAATGATTTTCGAGGTGAAGGGAACACTTCACGTGCTTGTGAATTCGCGGTTGGTTGGCGAGGTTGGGTACGTACCTGAACGTGTGGCTCGTGCACACCATTAGCGTCCTCCACGTGATGACGTCCAACCCCGCAGTCCCACCTGGGAAACGACGCCAAGCGGGGCCCCAGATGCCGGCGGCATTTCACTTTCAACAACAACAACCCAACAATCATCACCAGGTCTCATGACAACAATCAGGCAGGACTACCTCATGGTTATTATTGAACTGACACTCGGAATCAAATAGTTCTTGACGGCCTTTATCTACGGACGCGTCTTATCATTTTCATACACAATACGATAAACAGACCATCTCTCCACCAAACACTTGTACCAACCGCCACGACAAAGTATCACCATTCAATGATACCATCATAAACGACATCAGACATCATCGCCAACATGGACCCTCCAAGCCGTCCTCTTCCGCCAATTCACCACCTCAACCTTGAGTTAATCCTCATCCCCCCCATTCTCTTGGCCATCGCGACAGCCCTCAGTCTTTTCACCCACTCCGACACCGACCTGTACATGCTCTACTCGCAATGTCATTCCCACGCCCGCATCGAATGGCTCTCTCGCGTTCCCCTGTTTGGTCCTCTCGCCTGCTTTCTCGTGTCTTTCTTCCAAGAGGCTCTCCTCTCTCCGGTCCGCTCCAAAGGCATCATGTCTGTCATCCTCAGCTATGTCGCCGGTCTGCTAACCATCACCACGGTCGAGTCCTCTCGTATCTGCAATCAATCGGCCTTCTTCCTCGCCTTCCCCACCGCCACTTGGCTCATCTTTGACCTCGTTGGCGGCGCCCTAGTCTGGGAGATCATCATCATTCCCGCCTTCTTCCACCGCGCAAAGCTTGTCATTCTGGCCCGTCGCCAGGGCACCACTACCTCCGAGGGTGAAGAAGTCGCCGAACCCGAGCTCATCCTCGGCGCCCCGCGTCACTTGTCCACCCTCGCCGAGTCGATCTCCATCCCTGTGTCAATCGCAATCGGCTACATCCTCCCCTCGCTGCTCATTCTCCTCCTTCCGTCAGACAAAACCACCGTCCCCATTCTCGTCTGGCTCTTCTTCCCTGTCTGGGTGTCCTTCCTCCACCAAGGTGTGCGTACCGCGCTCCTCCATGTGTTCAGAGACCACCCAACTTGGCCTAGACCCTTCCACCTCGAGACCTCTCTTCTCCCACTGGTTTTGACCTACGCTGCGCCTATCCTCTTGTCGCTGGCCTCGCACATCTACCTGATTGTCACACTCTTCACCCACCCGCACGACGATCGGAAGGAAATGACGCTTGCTACGACACGGTTCATCATGGTCAACATGGTCTTTGTCGGGCTGACGGTGTTGTACTGGGCGTTTATCGAGGCTGGATGGCAGACTGCCTTGGTGATGCTGGTGGTCACGGTGTTGGCAGGACCCGGAGCGGGAGTGTGTGTGGGATGGATATGGAGGGAAAGTGCGGTGGGGGTGGATTGGATTGGACGGAGATTTGGACCGAGAGCGGCTGTTATTGCTGTCGCGGTGGGAGGAACCGGCTCGAGGAGAGGGAGTGACGGTGAGCGAGATGGAGAAAGGGGTCAGGTGGGTGGCAATGGACCGTCTGAAGAAACGCCGCTTTTGCGGTAGGGAACAAAGGATGGGATGTGGTGTTTGTTATGTGAGAACCTTGGTTTTTGTTGCATTTCGTCGGTTTGGTGTTGCATGTTTTATTTGGTGATCAAGATGGATTGAGGTTTAGACGGGCGCCGTACTTTGTGATTCTGTCTATCTCTTTCTTGCTCTCGGCGGCGTTTTTGGCATTGATGGTTCCTCTTTTCCGTATATCCAACGTTGTCCGTTTCGCCAAATGTTTCATTGGCTCCAAATTCAAGCTCTCCTTATCCAAGTTCACATGTGTGCATCAAACCTCCCTCTTCTTTGCCGTTCTTGTTCGATCTCCTCGTCGTGGACATTCAGAGCTTGAGAATTTCTGCAAGATATCCATCGGTCGGTGGCTGATTTCCCTACAATGTTTTTGCTTCTCAATGTTGGGTCTTCAATATTCGATGTGGCAAGGGAGGGTGGAATGGGCGGCCCCACATGCTCCTGCCTCGACAGACGGACCAAAGTGGAAGGAAGTTCGGGGCACAGCAACGAGAAGCGGCCCCTCGTCGAAATCTGAACGGATTCTCAACACCAACATCACCTCGTTCTCACCTTACACAGTGATAAATAATTGCTTCAATGCGCACAATTCTTGAAATTCGCGGTGGAGTCAACCTCCCACCATAAATTCACTCCCAACCTTCGCCCTCTTCCTTCTCGTCTCGTCGCAATTTCAGGACCGGACAGCCTTCGCACGACGACTTGACTCAACTCGTTGTTTCTTCCATTCAGCGCATCGTCATTTGCTTCTGTCCAATCCACTCATTGTGTTTGATCAATTGCACAGATCGTCCGACTTCGAGCAAACACAACAGAGACATGCCGTCGCCGCGGAGGAATGAGATGGAGTATGACCGCATCCGAGGCGGTGATGGTCGCAGATATTCTCTCTATAAAGGTACTCGTTGCCCATTCCCTCTATAATGAATGCAGCGTCAAGTTTTGAGCCATACTAACACCAATCTCGTTGCCCATCTAGCCAATGGTCCGAACAAGCATGCCCACCATGGCCACGGCGCCTTGTTTCCAGAAAATTATGCTCCTAGACCAGGATGTCCCAACATGAAATGGCATTGCCCCATCATTGGATGCAATCGAGCCTTCAGGCTCCTCAGAGATTTGGGCGAGCATTTCAATGTGAGTGTCTCCCGTCTTTCCTTCCGTCCTCGGACATATCTCTCAGCCAACCCTCGCCTTCGTTTCTCTTTCTCGTCGCTAACCTCCCCTTACACCCAGACCGATCACAAAGGCGACATTCTTCACGACTTGCGAGATGGCAACTTTCGCAAGATTGGCAATGCCGGAAACCGCCCGCCCTACGTCGGCTACCGAAGTGACAATCCGCCGTCGCCCATTCCCCTCCCCCCTCCATCGCCGCCTAAGCGTCCGGCCGCTGACAATTCCTCCGCCGCCGTCCGTACAGCCACTCCTGGATTGTTCTTCAAGCAGGAGTATTCTGATGACGAGGACGCTCGCCCAAAGGAGACATCGTACATTATTCTCGACCACGAGAGCGATGAGTGGGTTTTTACAAGTCCTCTTTGCCGGTTATAACGAGATTAGCTAACCCACAAATCCAGCCATAGGTCACAGCAAGAAAGCAACTCGAATAACGACGACCCGGACAGCGCCGATAGCACACATGACACCGACAGCGACTCTGACGAAAGCGAGCATACCGAAAAAGAACACAAAGTTCAGCAGAGAGAGCAGCAATATCGTTCGGACAGCCATATTGACAGTGATGACGACGACAGCGTCCAAGATCGTGGCTCCGACATCTGGGCTTACATCAACAGTTTGACGCCAGAACCTATCGCCATCCCCGACGACGCATGTATCAAGGAACTGATGAGGTTGCCTCTCCTTCGTGAGCTCCCCTTTTCTTGGAAAACGCGTCTTTCCAAAAAGAGCTGGGTGAAAAACTACTGCAGCCTCAAGACTATCACCGCAATCATGCACTTCCTTGTCGGCGAAGACCGGGACCGCAAGGTCTGCAACGGCCTAGGTTGCGACACTTTAGGGAACGACGGTCTTATATCCGCGCTATCTGATTTTGCCATAGGCAGCGACGCATTCCATGGAGAGTACGCCTTTCCTCGCTGCATCATGCTCCCAGACAACATCATGATGTCGAAGGCCGTCATGGAGCGGATTGGCATTAACCAATGCGTCAACGCATACTACAGACGCGGCAAAAAGGTTCCATTTCCGGGTCTAATCTTTCCCCGTCGCCTGGAGGTGCCTCAGACACCCAAAGGCCGTGGCAACAACCGCCCCTACAGCGAATCTTCCGTGCTCCGTCGCCAGGCCCGACTCCCGTCGCTTTCTGTCACGCCATCCAGATCTCCCAAGCGCAAGGCATCCTCCCCCGAGTACGAGGACGAACTCCCCTCGTACCGCCTCGCCAACCCTTCCTCTCCTAACAAACCCGCTCCTTGGGAGCAGTTCACCGGCTTTCTGCCACTTCGCTCTTCCCCGCCCCGCGGCCCCCGCTCCTCCCAAGCCGCTTCTGATGTCATGGTTGCTCACTCGAGCATGTACCTCGCATCTCAACCGCATAAGCGTATCAAGCTCGTTGACCATTCCGGTCTCGGCCGCGGCGACTTCGCTGTCCTAAAACTGGCTGGCAATGATGATGGCCATGTCTTGAGAGTTGACCAGGGAAGTGGAAGGATGCTTAATTGTTCCGTGGCCAAGGGCAGGGTGGATGTCTTCTTGGTTGTCAGGGGTAGAGGCCAGGCGCAGGAGGAAATGACGTTTACTGCTGGCGAAGACACGCAGTGGGTGGTCAAGGAGGGATGGGCATGTGAAGTGACCAAGTTTCAGGGAGAGGCGGAAGAGGCGAAGGTCCATGTTACTGGCTTGGGTGTGGATGAGCAGTCGCAGGAGTGAGGAAGCCGAAGAAGATCGGATGTGAAGAATGTTGAGAATGTTGAAGATGTGCAGAAGTGTCTGCGGTTTTCGACAGAAGAAGTGCACCGAGGCTAATGCCGCGTTCTATGTCTTGGAGTGTCTGAAGAGGTGGATCATTGTACGGAGGTGGGCGTGTTTGCAAGAGGGCATCGTGAGTTACCAGTCAAGAGAAGGATCATTTAATGGTGGATGCTCAATGTACCGGATGTCGAACACAAGTTTGCACAGCCAGTGGCTGGTATCCAATTGGAAGTTTACCTGTTTACAGATCATGGTTTGTCTCGTCGTGCCAGACGCACGAACAAGCGGCCAGGAGTTCTTTTTGTCCATTACACTATGCCGAGCTGGCATAGATAATGCCTAAAATCGTTTGTTATTGAACATTACCTTTCTGTCTCTGTTCTCCTCGCACTTGTCCAGTGTTTGATATCTTGTTTTCTTTTTTTCTTTCCCCCTTTCTAAGTGTCTTGCGACTGCTATTCACTCGGTGTACTCAATCCAGGCTCCAAGAAGCCGAGGATAAGGATGGATGTCGATGGCGGAAACATCCTGTTGCGCATTTGGCGAGAGTCCTTATGGAGGCAGCGTTGCTTTCTCTTGGATATTCTGCACCTTTGACGCTGGAGCAGTTTTTAACCCATTTGTCACTTGCGTATACCCAAGGTTCTTCCATGGACGAATGAACAATCGATGTTTGTTTTCATTAACGCGCATTTCCATGCGTGCAAATCATGGCGAGTGTTCGTAAGAACAACACGAACACACCACGGTCCAGTTCGTCATACCTTCTAAATAGTAGTCTTGCATGCATTCAAATGCGTTCTTGCTGTAGCTTCAAGTCCAACCTCTAGGCACTTTCTAGATGGAGGAATTCCTATCAGACTCTGGTAGCTGTGTAACGACCATTCCAATCTCAACCCAACGAACGGTATCATACTGGCCGTGTTCAGTAACTTTGATTTATTGTTACGACGCCACTTCCACATCAGACGGTACCAGGTCTTCCTTCCTCCCTTCACTTGTCCTCGGCTTGTGTCATCCCGCCATTGGGCTGTGACCCACACGTTCTCAACTTACCAGTCCGTGCCGGCCGTCAGGGCAAACTCCCCCCTCCTCGGCCACGAAAATTTCAGACATCGAATCTTCTTTTTGCGGAAGTCGTGACTTTCAATTTTTCTCCCCGGTCCCGGCACAAGTGTAGATCCCACTACTAACTTCTCCCTACAACATCAAGCGAGATCTGGTCTTCATCATTGCTTCCTTCCTTTGCTAACCCCTAGCCATTGCTGCTGTCATACTCTCGCTTTTCATCATCGACCACTTCATCATTTTGGTGTTTTAAGAATTGCGAGAATGCCTCCTTCAGGTGCCGATACGAGAAGAAAGCGGTCAAGAGATGAAGGACCGGAAGATGCTGCCCGACCTCACAAGAGGAGATCGCAGGGCGCATCTGCTGCGTTCTCGAACCCAGCCTCTGCCGAAGACTGCGATCCTCCAGCGCTGACCACTCTCGCGGATGGATCGAGGAGGTACGACGAGTTCAAGGGTGATATAGGTGAGTTACTATATGCTTCTCTTGGTCAAGTTCTTCTTACGAGCGAGCTGCTCACACCAAGACTACAGGAGACGGCATCAATAGGATTTTATCCGGAGGCGGCGCCTTCTTCCCGACCAACTACAAGCTCGATATCAAATACCCTTCTCCGTGGATCTGTCCGCTCTCCAACTGTAGGGTTTCTTTTGACCAGTGCAGTAATCTTGGGCGCCACTTCTCGGTCAGTAATATCCTCTCCTTCTTTTTGGTTTACGCTATGCGCTGGCTACTTCTGCACTTATTGCTCTCGCCACCGTTCCAGTTACCTTCCGATGTGTGACATTCATCAGTTAACCAAGTACCCTTACAGAAAGCTCATCGCGGCTGGAAGCTCTACGATGAAGAAGAGCGCGGTTTCTTTCACCACCAAGGCATCAGAACTAAGCCAGACAAGGACGGCAAGCTTCGCCCGATTGTTGTCGGCAGAGGATTTCGCGCTCCAGAAAGACAAGATGATCGACAAGCCCCGGACGCTTCTGCAGCTGACACCGCAACCGCCGCTCCCGCGTTTACTACTGCTCGGGCCATCCATTCTTCTGCTTCAGCACCCATCACTCGCGCCCAAGCAGCCCGATCAGCATCCCGCAAGGTCATAGACATCAGTAGCGATGACGAGGGTGTCAAACCAGCCGCCAAAGATACTTCAGTGCGGAACACTGTCTCACATGCCTCGGTACAACGGGAGCAGGCAAGAGGGGAGACCAAGAGTGCTGGCACTACCAACCGAATACGAAGAAACTACCGTGGCGTCATGTTTGAAGTGAGCAATCCCCAGGAGCTGGGCGGTGCGCAGCATCATAGAAAACTCTTTGCAAGTTGGGAGCAGGAAGCCGGTGCGCAGCGCCGTAAGAAAATTTCCTCTAAGACTGGCCGAGAAGTCGACAAGCGCCAGCCGAGGGACGCCTCTTCCGACGCCAGCCAGAAAGTTGATACACAGCATCTCGAAGACACTTCATCTACATCCAGCAGTGAAGATGACGACGATTCTGACCCCTTCGACTTTGAACCCTCCGACCTGCCTGCTCCCCGCAATAACGACACACAGCAGCTGGAAAAAGGTACCGATACTGCACCGATCATCGTTGCCGAGTCTAAGCAACCGTTCGATCCCAGCAAGTCAGCAATCTGGCAGTATCTCATGACGCTTACCAAGACCGATATGCCGGTTCCTGATGATTCGGCCATCACTGAGCTCCTTGCACTCCCAAGGCGCCGCAATCTTCCAAGAACATGGCAAGGACGACTATCCAAATTTGTGGACTTCCAACTCAATACACTCACTGGATTGATCCTCTATATTGGCGGTGACGAAGCATCGAATAGTCCCTGCAATTGGATGGGTTGCAGCTTGCATGCAGAGGCACACGTCTTCTGGGAAATCAACTTTTATCATGGAAACTACATTGACCACCGGTACCCATTTCCGAAATGTGTGTTCCTTCCAAATCATCTTCGTGACTCAGCATCAGTCACTGAGCGATTGGGTCATCATTTGTGCTGCAACGCATTTTACAGGAGCCGGAAGAAGCCACCGCACTGGGTGAACACGGTTCCCGATGAGAAACATAAGGCGGCACTGGATCCAGCGTGCAAGGAGGCTATGCGGAATACCTCTACCGAGAAGTCTGCTGGCACCGAATCAAGCACGAATACCTCATTCAACACGCCGAGTACTGCCACATCAACAAGCAACACTGGCAATAATGCCGTGCAGCCATCGCCATCGCAAGCCTCGCTACCTGCATGCCCTCCTATGCAACCTGCGACCATGGCTCGTGTTACAACCACTCCCCGGGATCCGGCACAACAATCAACTTCACGATCCTCAACCTCGCAGGTGCCGCTGCATGTCAGTGCCCCTCTGTCATCTATATCTCGTAACGATGAAGAGAGGAGCAAACATTCCAAGGACTTCGGCGATCAAGGTCAATCTTCCCGAACAGGCACTGCTACCTCGACTATTTTCTCACAACTCGCAGTTGCCATGCAGCAGACTGTCAGTCCTCGGCGCGCGACGCAGGCGCATTCCGCGCAACGGCTGGTGATCGGGGGGAATATGTCCGGAGTAGGAAGGTCTTCTGTTAATCCCATTGTAGAAGCGAACCAGCGGCTTGGTGATGTGAGGGAAAAAACAAAGGGGACCAAGACGAAACGAGAGGCTACGCGCCAAAAAGAGAACCTTGATGGGGAAGAACAACATTCATCTACTAGACAGGCCCAAGTTACTCCAGTATCTTCTGCGGCAGCTTCTCTGTCCAACCTCACGGTGCAGGATACATCCACAGCTCCTTCCAGATCTCCGCAGCAAAGTGGGCTAGAAAAGTCGCAGAAGACGACCGTTCTCAACCTTGCCAATGGTTCCACACAACCCATTGGCTTCAAGGGTAACGAGTCTCAGCTCCTCCAGGCATCGAAAAGACAAACCCTAGAGTGTACGGTCTGGGCAGGTAGCGTATGGATGAAGATGGTTGGAGATGATGGCGTGTCTATCACGCGGAGAGTGGACGCGGGGGGTACTTGGACAATCGGCACGGACAGTCACTGTTTAATCACCAACTTCTTCCCAGCAGCCCAAGAGACTGCTGTGGTTAATGTCAAGTCTAAGTCCGCGTTGACAAGCATCAAATGACCAACTGAGGGTAAGAAAACAAGGTGGATAGGTCGAACAACATATGTAAGAAGATTTGTATTGTGGATGTCCTTTATTTGTTTGGTATATGAGCATTGTAATGGTTTTCTTGTCTTTTATTTTCTTTCTGGTATCTGGACACTCTCTTGGTACACATGATGGCGTTGAGAGCAAGAAGGGTACCTAGAAGTTGGATACATGTCGTGGTATTGGCTTTGACGTGGATTACGGAAGTGATACGAAATAAATGAAACATAATCAGGTGTCAAAACAGCCAAATGGCACCTCCAGGTAATGGCAAGTGTCGGAGCCGGGTGTCAACCTTCCGGTCCATGCCGGCCGCCAGGGCACACGGCCGTTCCTTCCTCCAGTCCCACATGTTTTCGAGTTCAGACACCGAGCAACTTTCTCGTTCTTAGCCCTCTCAGATTTCGCGACCTGCACCTTTTGCCTTTCCTGAGCGATTCTGGACTTGATTATCACCCGTCACTTCACTGGGTTTCCCGCCGCTTGAGGCGGCATCACATCTACATCCATCCACATCTCGTGTCAATCATTGGTCACCCTTCGTCCTTAAGAGTACTTCGCTGCCGACTCACTCTTTCCTCGCTTCCTGTGGTCGCAAACGGCAAAATGCCCTCGATCAACAGGAAGCGAGAGTGGGAGGGCGAAGGAGATGGTGCCCGACCAAACAAGAAAAGCACTGCCTCTGCCTCGACTGCTAAACCCGCTTCCGCCTCCAACGACCCCGACCCTCCAGTGTTGATCGGCCCCTATGATGGTCATAGGAGGTACGACGAATGGAAGGGACAGATGTACGGCTTCCCGAGGGTTATACCGGGTAGTGGTGCATTGTACCCGACCAACTACCAAATCAACTTCAACCATTCAGATCCATGGGTGTGCCCCCTCGCAAATTGTAGGAATTCTTTCCAGCAACCTTCCCAGCTCGGAGCTCACTTTTCGGTAAGTATCACATCTCATGCAGTTTGTTCCTCCGCCTTGTAGTACGAGTAGCCCACTGACCGCTGACTATCAACCCCAAACAGAGGGCCCATCGCAAATTGCTTTTATACGACGAAGTTTCCCGCGGATTCTTCTGGGCCATCGGAGAGCGAAAGACTCCAGATAAAGACGGCAAGTTTCGCTCTATTGTGGTTAAAAGGGGTTACTTTGAACCGGACAGCGAGCGTAAACGTGATGATGTTCGACAGCCACCGGAGAACTGGGAATCCGAGGTCAACCCGAGGGCTGTCAAGGATATCAAGCTGCCCAGCATGCCGCAGGCTGCAGTAGCTCCTGCCGCCCCTTCTGCCGCCCCTTCTCCTACCACTCCTTCTCCCGCCGCCTCTTCATCGACGACATTCACTGCGTCTGCGTCTAGACCTTTGGCTGTCCCGGCGCTTGCTACACCCCGCTCTGGTGCCGCCAAATCGGTAGCAGTTCGCCCTTCTTCGGCGCCCACCGCTTCTGTTGCTACACTGCCGGCCATCCGTCGTACGGCGCCCGGTACCGCACTTGTTGGCCGTCCCACCGGCAACTCCATTCATGGGGTTACCGACATCAGTAGCGATGAAGAGGATGTGAAGCCCATTCTGCTGGACACTCCAGTCAAGAACAAGACCTTCAATGGTGCGATATCTCAAAAGGGAAAAGCAAAGACTGAGATTGAGGGCGCAAGATCTGCTACCAAGGGGCAAGACAGTGGGAATGATCTTATGGATGACGACGATGCCAACCCCTTTGACGTTGATCCCTTCGAAGTTTTACCCCGCAACATGCCTGGTTTCAATGGAGGCATTCCCCGGCAGCACTCTGGCAGTACACAACAACCCGTGTCATGTCAGCCCAGTGCACAGCCCACCAAGAACAATCCTGATATGCCAACTCACGGAGCCAACTCGGGCTACCCAGAGATCTGGAAGTATATGCTGGGGTTCCTTCAGCCTGGTACACAAATTCCAGATGATGCTGCAATTGCCGAGCTGCTGACTCTTCAGAAACGCCGAGACCTTCCAGAAGCATGGAAGTTCAGGCTCGCAGCCTTCACGAAGCACGATCTGAAGACATACACGTCGGTAATCCTGTACCTTGGAGGAACAGAGGCTGTCACAAGCCCATGTAGCGTGATGGGGTGCGCCCACAACGAACAAACAGCTGATTACGCCGCGTCGTTACAGCGAGAAGATCCCAGATTTCAGAATCGCGTGTTTGTCAAGTATGCATTCCCAAAATGCGTTTTCTTGCCGCGGCACCTTCTCGACTCCGTACCTCTTGCCAAGAGACTGAAGCGCAAAATCTGCGCCAACAGCTATTATCGCAAACAATCACCGAATCACAAGATTCAAAACACCAAGGAACAAGCGTTAGAAGCACTGGTGAGGGTTGGTAGGACGATACCAGGGTCCCAAATGGCCCAGTCCTCGTCAGCAAATGTTCCTCGGATTATTACACCAGTGGCTTTCTCGACGACGAAGTCAGATCCCCAGAGGGTCGAGGCACAGAGGGGAACGCAAAGCTCGGGTGGCAACGAGGCAGACACCCAAGAGGACTCCTTCCAAGACAACCCCATTCTTTCCAAGGACCCCGTCAGGTCGGTACATAATCACAATGGGAGCACACGGCAGACGATCAACCACCAGTTCCCTGAAATCAGACCTAGCATGTCGGAGCAGTCCCAGCGATCTGTGAGCTCGGATATCTGGGCCTACATTACCCAATTTGCCAGGACCCCTACGCCCCGTCCTGATGATGAAGCAATCACCGAGCTACTTAAACTGCCTAGGCGCCGAGATATTCCTGGTTACTGGCGGCGCCAACTCAGTGTCTTCAGTACCCTCAGTCTTCATCAACTCACGGCAGTTATCTGGTACCTTGGTGGAGACGCCTCGCTGGTTAGCCCGTGTGTACCTATGTTTGGAATGCAACCTAAAGCCTGGTGCCGTCAACTCTCATGTGAAGCCGACCCCAGCCACAATTATGAACAGTGCCCAAGTTGCCGTCTGGCGTTCCCAGAATGTGTTTACTTGCCTCGACATCTTATTTCATCTCCGGCTATCTTAGAGCGAGTGGATGGATACTTCTGTTGCAATGCGTACTATCGCTTTGTGGGCTTTCAGCAGCCGAAAGGGGCAGTGCGACCTACTTACATTGACGAAATCACCGCTACCAAATCATATGCAATTGGGAACACTATGCGGGAGAGTACCACTCTGGCAAGTAAGCCGAGTACCGTACCGTCGACCCGTCTGCCCTCACAAACCTCAGTACCCCGGTCAACTCAGTCCATCACTCACCCCCTACCATCAAAACCAGTCTTATTTTCGAATCTTGCCATCCACAACAAGCCCAGAGCAACCCATCAACAACAAGAACCCAAGCAAGCCTCTACAACATCACAGAGGCCATCAGGAATATTTAGCATCCCTGAGAACACCCCGGGCCAAATGTTCTCTCTCAAGGGCACGAACACCAAAATCATCCAGTCGTCCAGAAACCAAATTCTGAAGTGCAAGGTACTCGCAGGCGATGGCATCAAGTGGCAAATCGTTGGAGGCAAGGAGTTCAAGGCATATAAGAGCTGGATCGATGAGTGGGAAATCCCTCCTGACTCTCAGTGTCTCGTCAAGAACATCCACCCTAAGAGGTCGTTTGGGGAGAACCAGACGTGCATTGATGTTAATCCTAAGAAGGGTGTGGTAAAGGCGGCTCAAAATCAGAGAGTGGGGAAGTGATGGTAAAAGGAAGGATGGATTAAAGAAAGAGCTGTCAATGCAGGTGTCGTCGAAAACAATGAGTTGCACAAAAGAAGTGCAAATCGGAGAAGGACGAGCAAGCAAACTTTGAACGAGCTCGTTCAAGGGAGGATGGGCAAGCATTCCCAAGCCCCATGAGTCTCCGTAAGACACAATCTCAAGGGAGATTTTGAAGGAGGTGGAAATGATAACATTGATGTAGTAGGAGGTTCTGTATAACGGTTTGCATGTACGAATTACATACCCGCCACCAGGGGGATTCTTTATCCTTGCTTTCTCTTATAGCTAGATACCCTTTGGCTTCTGGTTTTGATGGAAGATACCCAGACATGGAATGGCACATTGAGCAGGAGTTCTGGTGTCTCTGGGATCCAAGGACACAGGTCTAACTCAGTGAATAGAACCTGTAAAATGGTCAAGGACGTAGATAGAAATGCCTAGGAGGGCATGTTGTACTTCATGGTCAATGCCAGGTGGCTGGACTTCTAGTTACTAGACTGGAAGTAAAACACAGAATCTAGCTAGACTGAATCAAAGCACAAACATATAGTCAATGTACCACACCCAACGACAAGCGACTGCCATTACGATCTTGCCTGTATGCCTACTTTGCGCCCGGCCTGCTTGCGCTGATGGTGATAGCCGCCTATTGTTAGGACAATATAATGAGAACGGTATTACGACCTATCCCTAGCTGGTACACAGGATGGTGTTAATGCCCTGGTGTTGAATAGGTAGACAAGTTATCTGGGAAGGCTATTTGATGCACGTTCTAATGTAAGGAGTAAGTCAGAGTAAACCTTATCCATTGTGACCTGAAAAAAGCGTGACAGCCGGGCTTAAGAGGTTCTTTGACACTCGTTTCTGGATCTGGGAGGATGGGTTCCTCTAGTTATTTTGTGTTTACTGACTTCTATCTACTATACTTGTAACTTGGGCACTCTATGTTGAGAAGATGATCACTTGGGATCTCTTCCACCGTTCTATGTTCTTGTGAGCTCGTCTTCATGAATCCGAGAAGTATCGGTGTAGTTCCCCATGCCATCATTTTTCTTCAAGCTTTACATGGTACAAGGAACCAGACTAAGGACTGGGCCTACCTCCGTACTTTCTGGAGGTATGATTAGTGACCGTGACCATGAAAGTTGGTGCCTTCTTTATCTTCCCATAGAGGTATCTAGTCTTTTCCCACCCAGTTCCAGTCTGCGACTAGACGTTAACAGATAGAAGACAACCCGCAGCACGTCCCGTACTTAATAAACCTCCACAACAACATACTCCCACTACATCAGGACCTCGCTGGCTAGCTAATTCTTAAGTGAATACAAAAATCTCAAAGACCATTGGATTACCACACGGCAGCCTGTATATGTATAAGACTGGCTTCTACGCTCCCTATTAGGCTCATTAGGTACCTCCGAAGGAACTCTCTCCGTCAGATTAGAGGTAACCTCGAGGTAGTAGTTCAACTTACCAAACACGTCGTCCTGCCACCATGTGCAGCGGCCGAGAGCTCCTTACAATAAGGGCACGAGCAGTCCAGTCATTTGCTTCTTTTATTGGGAGAGAAAGGTATGTCGCTTCGTACTTCCGCTTCCACCTTCTGTCTTGGCCATAGTACGATGTCGGACCATACCTACCTATGTAGTCCATCCCAACTGTGATACCAGCGTGGAAAATGGCTGTCATCACAGCCTCTACCGCAACAAACCGCAAGCGGAAGATTCCCAGCTTGGCATATGGAGAAGGCACAGGAGCCCAGCACAGGAGGCCTATATACCGGATCTTATACCCTTTACCCAATGAAGATCTCACGAGACGAGGGGGTGCTCGTCCATCAGATGCCCGGCTCTCGGCGCTTGAGCATATCCTGGCAGAGGGACCGGAGTGGTTTTGATGATTATCGGCCACTTCGCCATTACCCTTGTTCTTGTGATGAGGATCGAGGGCGGCAATGATGGTTCTTTGGCCTTGCCTTTGTCTTTGCGGCTGATGATGGTGATTCTTCTTCCCGTTCGTATGGTAGAAGACCGTGCCCGCCTTTAAGTCCTTATCTACCTTCTACACTTCCTTTACTTTACCCTCGATAACCCTAGTGATATTTTTGTTTCTAATAATGAGGAGACCCGACTTTTGGCGTATTAATATAACGTTGAGACGATTTTCGTCTATAACGAAACCAAGGATGAAGCCGGATCGGGTGCCGGTAATAACTACCGAGATTGATCTTTCTTAACCTTGGAACGAATCGGCCGTTTGTACCGGGGGCATGCTACGGAGGTGTGGGAGGCCGGACTTTAGGAGTCGGTTGCCGTATTCCACATTGGGCTTGTAGGCCGAAATAACCACAAAGTCCTGTGGTGAAGCGCATGGGGAATTCTTAACAAAGTCGTTAAGTAATTCTAACGGCAATGATGGTTCTTTGGCATTGCCTTTGTCTTTGCGGCTGATGATGGTGATGAAAGAGGAAGCTAAGTTGACCAGTCCAGTAACCCTTTTGCTGCTTCAAGAACGACTCAAGTTGACGGGTAGGGGCCACAGAGTGAAGACTTGAATCGGAAGGGAGCCCAAATGGCCCGGAGAATTTCCGCAACTTCCTTCCCCCAGTCTTCAAGACATCCTATCCAAAAACCTCCATCAGTCTTGGTTACCGAGGATCACATGTGGATTGTGTCGTCTTTCCTCGCAAGCATCACGATATGTCAAAGGGAAATTTCACGCGTCAGGTTCAAGTTTTGTCAGATCATCAAAGTCATCTCAATTCATTGGTATCGTAAACTCCCGGCCGGTTCAACCAGCCCGCCCCCCCTCCCCCCCCTCCCTCCCCCGCGGGGCCTAAAAGGACCCTGCATAGATCCGAACCTCCTCCAGGGTGCATGCCCCGCAAACTTTGCCGCTTGTGGCGGTCTTGGTGATGGTCTTGCCCGCGCCCGGGCAGGTGCTGCTGCTGTTGTTGTTGGTGCTGCTGCTGCTGCCGCCGCCGCCGCCGCCCACGCAGGGAGTCGTAGTGGTAGTGGTGGTATTGGACACCGGGGAGCCGCATTTGCGGCAGAGGTGGGTGGTTAGAACGGTCTGGGTGCACATCCTGGCGGCTTCCTCGGTCTTGGGTTGAGGGCTGTGGGCGGCGGGGCACTGGCTGGGATGGGTTGGGTATAGGGCGCGGAGAAAAGGCAACGGCGGGCGCTGGCACTGAAAATGCAAGTAGGGAGTTAGCTACGTAGTATGGAGGCAAGTGAACTATATGAAAAGGCATCATGGGAAAGTGAGAAGGCAGGGAGAAGAAGACGATATGCGTACCTTGTGTAGGCTTTAGCGAAACTGGGTCGCTGGTGCTCTGGTCTTGTTCAACTGGCTGTCAGGTTGCAATGTTAGAAGGGCTTTCCGATAGTCTGGCAAGAAGTTTCGCGAAGGAAACTGAACAAATTGGGGACAGGGTGGAAGGGGCGGGAGTGGTACTTACTGTGGAGGCGAGAGTCTTTGCTGTTGTCACTGCTACTGCTTGGGCTGTTGCTGCTGCTGCTGCTCTGGTAAGGTTGAACTTGGTGGTGAGGGTGAAGAAGGAGAAGAGGAAAGGAACGAAACCGAGGGAGGAGAGGGTCTTTTATCTTCCTCCAGGTGGGATGGACAAGTGCTCGGGTAAACCTATTGTGAGAAGGAACAGAATGAAGTCCCTGAGTCAACCTGCAAAGAAACTTGCGTGTGTTTCATCCCAACTCAGCAGACCGGTCACGTATGCAAGGTTCGAAGGAAAGAACACCCTTGAGGAAGGTACGATAACTGCTCACGGACAGTCTGCTCCAGGCATTCAAGTGTGTGGTGATTGGGAAAGCAGTCTTTGAGTCCGCAGTCGATGGAAACATGGGATGAGCCGGCTACAAAGCTGATGCTCGGGACCGAGGCACTTGGGACAATCCCTCAGAGGATACTGAGACATTCAAACATAATTTCATCCGAATATCATTGTTGATACCTCTACGGTAGCTACCTAGCTGTTTATGCCTTGGGACCGACGGAGGCTCATTTGGCCGCGAAATCTGGCAGAAAGGCTTGGGCTGGAGAGAGTCCAGTTCAGATAGAGGGGTGCCTTCCTCCAGGTAGAGATGTAGTCTGCTGTATGCGGAGATTGCTGCTATGAAGAAAGACGGGAAGTAGTTTTGAGGGATCGTCCGTCATCGGCGTCCTCAGATAAGAGGTTGATCATTTGGGAGCGATCTAGGCACACAGTCTTGACCCGAGGGGAAGGCACGCTGCGGATGGCTGCCCCTGGGATGACACATGAGGGCGAAATCGACGAGCCTCGATCCATGCAGATGACACTACTGGTAGGCAGGAATGGTCACGAGAGCAACGTGACGTAAATGCATCTTCGAGTGAACGACGGAAGAAACCGTTCTCGAGATATTGGGCACGGCAACCTTCCATGTGCTGCCGTTGTTGAGAACAGAGTGAAGCCACTTGATGAGCCTCCTCTCCAGGCAACATGGTATACCGGCAAAATCATCCAGTCATGGACCCACGCCAGAAGCCAACCGAAAGATTGAAGTCAAACTACGTGACAAAGCAGATTCTGGGGAAGGTGGTTGACTGAAGGAAAAGGTTGAGCAACAGAGCCCTTGTCAGATGTGCCTGGGTGACTTGGGGCACCTTCCCTACGAGGGGACACGGGCAGGATGGAACCGCCCTTTCCCGACTTTACGATGTAAAAGAGCGAGTAGAGGTGACCGCTTTGATGACCAAGTTGAGCCGCCCCCCCCCCCCCCCCCCCCCCCCCAAAAAAAAAATTACACAGGGGTTTTCCTGCGGCCAAAACAGAAGTCACGAGCTGTTCATGGCATCATCAGACGTCAGATGAGTCGGAGCCTGAAGCGGAACACAAGCGGCCATCCGAAAGACGGCAAGACCAGAGGAGGAAGGCACCTCTACCTTGGTGAATACGGATGACAGACAGAAAGAATCCAATCTGTGCTTGTAACCGTGAAATGGATTTCCTTTGCGTTAACTCTGTAGTTGAGGCAGAACAAGACTACAGCTCCTCGGCATTCTCTGGAGCACAATGTTGAATCTCCAAGGAGGAAATCATTTGTGCAGGTAGTCAGGCAAGACGAGAATCAAGTCAAAGGATTTGATCGGCTGGTTGGTCTGCAGAAAGGAATCAGAGTCTTCCCTGCAAAATCCGCAATGGACGGGCACTCTCTGTGGGAAAATTTGAATGGGGCGCGCCTTCCGCACGCAACTGTATACCAGTCAGCTTCACTTCATCTCCATTCTTTGTGTTCAATCCGTTGACCTGGACCACCGTCAACAAAAGTGACCAACATTTCACCAATACCGGCACTCGACAAACATGATACAGAGTTCTAGCAGACAGATTTCTGCCCACCCTGGCTACTCCAGCTCCTCCTACGACAGTAAGAAAACGCGCTCGTGGCCTTGGAGCTTCCTTCAACAAGAAAACCTGAAGAACGCGACTGCAGCGAAGCTCCGTGAGCAGGCCAAGATCAATACTTTCGATAAGCCTCTGGATTACCTCTGGCACCAATGCACATCCGTGGGAATTCTTAATGCCACCAACAGCAGTGTCCGTCGAAGGAAGCTTATCGTCGGACACATTGAACGGAGGGGACCAAAATTAGGTCGGTACTAAATGTCTCTCGAGCGGGGAAGGATGCGAAAGTTAGTCGCGATCCGAATGTCCTGAACCTGGCAGCTGTTCGGAAGAGAACTACTGGAACGTAAGGAAAAGGCAAAGTAACAAGCATCAACTTCTGACTCTGCGTCTGCAGCCTCTGCTGACTCGATACGGTTCGTGAGTTGTTGCTCCTTGTGCGATCGGCCAATCTCGACTAGTCGACGCCTTTTGCCTGCTTCAATCTGTCGTGGACTAGGTACCTAGAAAGACCATATGGCGAGGCTGAATCAACCAACCCCCAAAGGAGGCTGAAGCCTTTGTAACATGCCTAGACTGGAGAAACAGAACCGTGCTGACATATTCCTCAACAGTCAACTCCTCCGAGCGAAAGCCATCGCGGCGGCCCAGTCGACGCAAAGCACAAAGTTCAGGCCACAACCCTCAACCTCGGACTCATACTCTGCCTCCTGAGCGATCCTCCTCCTCCGCCGATCCTCCCCAAGTTTCGCGACACCACACACGCTCGATAATTTTCGCAGTTGTCGTTGACTCCCGGGGGATCTTGGGGGCCGTTACCATACGTGTACGGTGGGGGACTTAGCCGTCCCGATTCAGGAGTGATGGCACTGGCAGGACTATTGTCCACTTCGACGCTGTATTCGACCGTGTACATAATACTGCTATTGCCGCTGCGGATATCATGGTTTTCTGACATGTCATGGGAAGGATCCTGGACGGGTTGCTCTGTGTCGGGTAGTTTCTCTTGGGGGGTATCCGAGAAGCGATGTTGCGAACCGTTAGGATCCTCTGTTGAGCGAGAATATCGTGAGTTGATCCCTAGAGCGACTGTAGAGGTACTCGAACTTCCAACCTTTCCGCTGCCACCGCTTGACGAACCCCTCTTTCCAAACCTCCTCCTCCCAAGACTGACAACGCTAACCACCATTTGTCTCAGCGTCGGCATGCAAGCGCAAAAGATACTTGACGCCGCTTCCAGCGTAGACCACCGATCGACATCGAACAGTGCTTGCGTCGGGTTGGGCGTTTCCGTAAACACAGTCAGTTCACGCAATCGGATGCAACTGAAGATTGTGACACTATCCACGTCCATGTCAGCAAAAAGCATCGTACATGACAATGACGGCGAAAGCAAGGGATAAAGAAGAACATGGGGGTAAAGAAAGAGAAACCCACAGCATCCCGATGCCAAACATCCCCGCCACCCCCATCTTCTTCCATGCACTCATCTTCAGTCCCCTGATACACCACAGCGGGATAGCCAACATCCAGATGTCGATGGAGATGCTGATCACTGCCGCAGCGACGTGGAAGGCCTTCCTGTTTATGCATCTCCCAGGTCTCCTTCCTCCCCCATCTTCTCCCCATCCTTCCCAGGTCGCATCTCCCCCCGGTATGCCCTCCCGATAATCCCAGCCCTCGAACCACCACTTCACCGGAGTGCATTGCAAAACCCCAGCAATGGCACTGCCCAACCCAAACAGCACACAGACAGAAAGTGTTGCCCATAGCACCCTTCTCACCACCTTTCCCGGGAAGATCCTGAGGTAGAACAGCAGAAACACCACTTTGGTGAGGGCAACTTGTAGAAAGTAAACAACACCCATTCCGTAGCCGTACCGCACCGTTTTGGCGATGTTGTCCAAAGGCAAAGTCCACGCATCCTGGCCTACTCCCAAGGGATGGAGGCGGAAGATGGCGAGCAATAGGTTGGGTAGACCGAGAAGAGTTATGGAAATGAGGGCATAGTCGTCTGCGTGTAGGCGCTGTGACCTAGGCAGATACTGGGAAGGCGGTCGTGAGAAGCCGTGCGAGGAGCTGTCGGTGTTGGGGTGGGCCGGAAAGGGGACAAAGAGTTTGTATAAAGTTCGCAAGGTGGTTAGCAGAAGGGTGGAGACTAGGAGTGCAATGTTTTCACGGAGAAGGAGGGCGGAGCGGTCCCTCGTGGGGAGATGGCAGTTGATAGTTGTGATGTTCTGGGTTGCTACGTGGTTTGTTAGCACTTGGAGGTTCAGATTCGGAGAGGGTATGTGGATACAAAGGGGAAGGGCTCACTGAGGGTTTGCCGGATGGAACAGAACTGCAAGAGGCAGTGGTAGAAGGACGAAGAGAGTGTGTGGTTTACTTGGTTAGTGCAGAGGCATGCCCAGTCATTGCTGGATTGCATGCAAGATTCGTCGATGAGGTGGACCTGGATACAGTTTTGCTGGATTGAGTCTCAGCATCACATCAACAGCTTTGGTCTCAACAATGCCGGAGGTACGTACGGCACATTCTGGATACAAGGCGAGAATGTCAGAGTCGGTCCTTGGCTGAAGAGCTGTTGCCCCGTAGGACACGATGGTGAACAGAACAACGCTCGATAGAAACCACATCGTGTCATCTCCCGCAAGCTTCTGGCGATATCTGCGAGAACAGAAAGTCCCGATTCATCTTGAACCTCACAGCGGCAAGTCCGCTAGATATGCAAAAGCTACGGCTGCTTCTCGACAAAGCTCTGGCTAAGTGTGAGACAGTCCTGTGCCCCTGGGCCTGGAGGGGCAGTGGCAGAGCAGTGAACCTTATAGGCAACCAAGAGCGGCGTATAACTCTAGAGAGAGTCCTATGTCTGATTGAGAACTGCAGCTACAAGGCGCAGAGGGAAAATGACGGAGGATGACGGGCAACATTATACACTCAGCACAAGCGATAAGTATACAGGTAAACACCTGTCTCAATGTTTTGGCAGGTCCTGGACACCTACTTTCACCCCTGTGAGTAAATAATCCACCGCTGCTACATGATGCGCAGCTTAACATGAGTATGCCTGTAGGCTGAAGCAGGCATTGATTGGTGATGGGAAAGAAATCACAGGCGAATGACTGGACGGCACAGTTTCAAACACAAGAGCCAAAGACGGCGCGGCGTTACATCTTGACTGACCAACATCCGTGGGATCCGCGACATGGAAAAAAAGAGTGATGGAATGGCTATTACCAGGTAGAGATGGGACATGATAAAGGTGATGACTTTGGGAGTCAGGACAATGGCTTGACGTAGGTACCTACCTAGTCTAGGTGAAGGGCGCCGCGAGGTCGTGCCGTTATACAGTAAGGTATTATGTTGAAGATCGAACATAAAGACTCCTTCCAGGTTGGATGGTGCAAACGACGACAGCAAAGTCGAACCAAGATCAAGAATCCAGTCATTCCCAAACCATTCCTTCTATGAGACCAGAATGCAATAAACGAAATATCCGCGTCAAAGAGATAAAAAGGGGACGCATTAGATGGCATCTGATGGTTGAAGACACGATGACAACGATCGGGATTCCGGAACAGCGGCAGGACGGGAGGTCCCTGGCGATCTTCAGGGTAGCAACGGTAGCAGTACACTAGTGTACCTGTACACAGTCTCGCAGGACACAGTGGCTTGTACACTACCAGGACTGTTATCCGTTTCGGGTAATTGTCGGCGGCTGACAACCAAGAGTCCTTGGAGCGTTGAGGTTTGCTTGTGGTCCAATGGAAGAAAGTAGGTAGGTAGGGAGCCGCTCGGATGATTCTTGGTCGTCATCATCGATGCTTTTTCTTCTCTCGGCAAACAACAATTGCCCCTGAGCCGATGTTTGAAGTTCCTCCGTCATGAAACCAGTCAACGGAAGTTCAGGTCCGGACGAACAGCGCCTGGCTGCTCTGCGCACGGGCCATATCTGGACTGAACCCCAAATGTCCCCCAAAACGATTCCTTTGACGGCTTGGCCGAGACTCATTGCAGGGCCAGATGCCCCGCTATGACTTCATCGACTGATGGAATGGAGCATTTGGATTGGCCAATCTCGATCCAAGTTGACGGCACAACGTCAGGGAGATGATCTTCAAAACGCGTTTAACACACACTCACATATGTTGGGGGGAGGCATGAAGCAGCATACCTAGGTCGAGGTTCGTTTGGCCTGGCTGGAATTTAGATAATCACCCAGTTGTTGCTGAAGGGTTGACACCCGACAGAGAAAGGAAAACGACGCTCCGGTCGCACATTGAACCTCAGAAGGGAGGAGTTCATTTAATCATCTTCCCCTTCCAGCCTTCCTTCGGTTTGTCATCGATCTGTTCTGCTCAAAGAAGGGGGGACCCAGCTCGCTTCTTTTCTCGTCAACATCGCCTCTCTTCCATGTTTGCTCGATCGCCAACCCGCCCTGTATTCGCACGCATCGCACAAACGTATGGGGAACGCCTTTTCTCAACCTCTGAAGTGGCCAAATGAGATCACTTTCTTTTTGCTTTTTGGCTTTGGTTCCCTTGGCTTCCCTCAGGGTCTCCAGGGTCCATTCGTGCCCTGCTTATACAACCACTCATGAGGAAGAATTGTTATAATATAAGACAGCCCGACTTATTTACGGCTTACACAATCAAACCCTTCTCTTTTGCCTCTTTTTGCCTCTTGCGAATACCACGGCAAACAAGAGCACCGCCGTACCCTCTGGCGCCCGAGACAGACACGAAGAGTGAATACGCGCACATGACGGCAACAGTTTTGCTGACCATTTTTGTCATCCATCTGTGACTTGGACCTATTTAGCGGCGAAATGCTATTTCAGCTCGCCATTCAAATTTCTAATACATAGTGTGTGGGATACGGCTGGACCCGAGCATTGGGATCGACATTTCTTGACGCCTCCCAGCAGTCATTACGGCCGCATTGGACTGATATACCCCGTTGAGTACCTACCTCCCAGAAAACACATCACCTGGAGATACCTCTACCATTGATCCATACATCCCACGCAACGCATTTCGACCACAAACCACTTCGATCCAAAACACGAGTCATTGGCAGCTGCTTTCCTCGAGGCAGCATCCTCTCACCGAACTAGCATACCTATGAACGTTGCCCGCTACATCCGACCAAGGTCCACGATTGTCACAGCGGCATCATATTCACAAAGCTTCCGTACAGGCGGTCTTGTGTACATCACGCGGTCACTGCGTCCTGCTGTGCCTGTCTGCACAACACGACGCACGTCAACCACATCCTTCCACACCATGCCTTCCCGCAAATCCAAAGCAGCGGCACTGGACACGCCACAAAGCGAGAGTTCCACCTTCAGCTCAACCCTGGACTCCTCGGCCCCGTCATCCGCACGCAATCTTCGGCGATCAGGTCGTAATATTCTGCAGCCCAGCAGCGAAAAGGACGGTGACCATGAAAAACGAAGCGGGGAGGAATTGGCTGGGCGTATGATGGGCAAAGACGCAAATGGCCATTGTTTGCGGGAGGGGAAGGAACAAGAGGAGGGAGTCAAAATGGCCATAGAAGGCTTAGCGAGGATGGAAAGACGACTACAAAGAGCGACAAAGCGACAGAAGAAGCAACTCGAAGAGGACGGTATCCCCGTACCATCAGTGGTCAGCCGCTTCCCAACTGCGCCTTATCACCACAAATCTGCCAATGCCGAGGAGCGGGAGGCGAAGGAACCGGTGCTCAAGACCCATTCGAAAGACGTCGAGGGCGAGGCGGAGATTGGTGTTGACGACGTTGTGAAAATGGAGCCAGCCGCAACCAACATTATCGAACCAGAAGATGCGCAGGATGCGGCTGAACGCGGTGCCGCTCGGCCACCAGCTGTCAATAGCAGCTACTTACCATTGCCATGGAAGGGCCGACTAGGTTATGTTAGTACATTGCTCAAAACTCAAAAAGGATCACATCTAACAGAGTGTACCTAGGCATGTCTCAACACCTACTTGCGCAACGCAAAGCCGCCCATCTTCAGTTCTAGGACTTGCCGTATGGCATCCATTGTCGATCACAGACATCCGCTTCAGTTTGAGGACGAGCCGGAACATCACTTGAAGAATAAGCCTGACAAGTCGAAGGAACCGCAGGATGAATTGGGACACAAGTTTTTGCAGGAGCTCGGGTTGGCCAACGCCCGCGACATTGTCAAGATGCTGCGTTGGAATGAAAAGTACGGCATCAGGTTCCTTCGACTCAGCTCTGAGATGTTTCCCTTTGCCAGTCATCCAGTACATGGATACAAACTGGCGCCTTTCGCATCCGAGGTACTTGCTGAAGCAGGAAGGGTAGCAGCTGAGCTTGGCCACCGCTTGACCACACACCCAGGACAGGTAGGTTCTCTCGTCGTTTCCTGTTTCTCTTTGCTGCTGACCGTGGTTTTTACGTAGTTTACCCAACTCGGCTCTCCTCGTAAAGAAGTAGTCGAGTCCGCCATTCGAGATCTCGAATATCACGATGAACTTCTCTCCCTTCTCAAGCTCCCGGAGCAACAAAACCGCGACGCAGTAATGATCATTCACATGGGCGGCCAATTCGGCGACAAAGCCGCCACCCTCGAGCGCTTCAAGAAGAACTACGCCCGCCTCTCGCAGTCCTGCAAGAACCGCCTCGTCCTCGAGAACGACGACGTAGGCTGGACCGTCCACGACCTCCTCCCCGTCTGCGAAGAGCTCAACATTCCCATGGTCCTCGATTACCACCACCACAACATTTGCTTCGACCCGGCCCACCTTCGCGAAGGTACCCTCGACATCTCGGACCCCAAGCTCCAAGAGCGCATAGCCAACACGTGGAAGCGCAAGGGCATCAAGCAGAAAATGCACTACTCCGAACCCTGCGACGGCGCCGTCACCCCTCGCGACCGACGTAAACACCGCCCACGCGTGATGACCCTCCCTCCCTGCCCGCCAGACATGGACCTCATGATCGAAGCCAAAGACAAGGAGCAAGCTGTCTTTGAGCTCATGCGCACTTTCAAATTGCCCGGCTTTGAGAAGATCAATGACATGGTGCCCTACGACCGTGACGACGAGAACCGTCCTGCGCCACCGGTCAAGGCACCCAAGAAGAAAAAGGGAGGCAAGAGGAAGAGAGTAACGGATGAAGAGGCAGCTGAACCTGAGGAGGTGGACACGGCAGCGGATGATGTGAAAGATGCGCCGGAGGGACCCAAGGAGGTTCCAGAGGAGGAGAGGGCGATGGGTGGCCCGTTTAATCGAGTTTATTGGCCGCTGGGGTGCGAGGAGTGGCTGAAGCCCAAGAAGAGGGAGGTCAAGAAGGGGAAGGTTCCAGAGGAGGTGGAAGATGAAGGGGAGTTTGACGGGTGATTGGGCGGAAGTGAAGGGGAAGAGCCAATATGGAGGAATGATAAGGTTCCATTGTCTTGTTCTGCGGGCAAAGTTGAAGTTGATGATGTTGCGTGGGGAGCCGAGTCAGAGCCAAGTTGAATGATCATGAACTTTCAGTCCCATTGGACTGCATGGTCTCAGTTGCACATGTCACGATAGACCAGCGCGCGTGCTTTGCAATTTGGCAGTTACATTCAGTTTGATCTAAGAAACAAATCATAAGGTACCTCAGTTGGTAAGAGCGCTGGTTCTTTGCAGCAGGCGCGAGTTCACACCCACCTTCAAGCTTCAATCTTCAACACACGGCGTATCAGAGTCTCCAATCATCCGATCTACAAGGTCTGGAACTTTCTTTTTCGCTTTTTCTAGGTATGTACAACAAAGACAATGGATTAGGTAAAATTGATAGTGGCGACCCCTACGACTACCAAGCGATTACTACCTCTAGAGCTGCCCGGAGGTCTCTCCGTTCGATCAATACAGTATCGCGAGATCCTCCTACGCCCGCTCGATTTCGGATCTCACGATGTGGGATAGATAGGTAACCAACAAAGCCGTCAGGTGGAAGTAGAAATGGAAGTGGGTGGAAGCTTGCGAAGCTCTTCGGTTGGGTTGGGCAACTTTTGCGGTCAAGGTTAGGTTTGTGGGAGCACAAAGCCAGCGGCTGTACCAGTCAGGTTCAATATTGGCGTCATTGCATTGCACACGCACAATGATTGTGCAGGATCGATCGCGATTGAGTTGACTTTGCTAAGTACCTACCTACCTCTACAGTACCTTATGCAAGTGATACCTACCTCTACCTTCCAGATAAAGTAGGTAGGTAGGTATGTAAAAGCAGTGGATTCTTTTGTTCGTACGTAGAGGTAGGTAGGTACATATTCCTCTTGACGAGATAATGGCGTCTTGGCAGAGAGCAAAAGCTGAAAAGTGGAAGTTGAGGGACATCGTGAGTCTTGGCGAGTCATGTCAGTCACCACCACTAGAGGTGTAGGTAGAGGTACCTAGGTAGGTATGTACCACCACAATCACCCACCATCGTCTGGTTGCAAAAATGCAGCGGCTTTCCCTCATGTTCTTTCCGTTTGCATATGGAATCTGCATCATGTGACGACGGTCTAGCATAGTTCTAGACCCGGCCATTCTTTAAATACCTCTACACTCCTTGCAAGCTTACGACGGGTCGACGGGTCGACGGGTACACCTGGATGGATGCAACAAACATTTAATCATGCATGACATTATCATTGCAAGTATCCATTTCGGCTTTCTAGAGGTCGCGGTCTCGACCGACCTTCCACTTTTCAACGGCACGGCTTTCAACCGAACCAACCGAACGACCGACATTGAAAGATATCCCGACAGATCAAGTCTGCTTGCTTGCTTGCAACAAACAGCACATAGTGTACGCCCAACGGAAGCTGCCGAGCCCGTATTTGCGGGGATCGGGGGTTTTGCTAGGTAGCCGGGGTGGAAAATGCACGATGCGTAAAGCACAGGCCGGTCTGGTCTGGTCTGGTCTCTGGTCCAATCTAAATTTGGCTTTTTTTTTTTTTTTTTTTTTGGGACACAGCGGAATTTGCTCGTGCGGAATTTGCGCGAGCCGACTGGAGGACCACCACGACTGGCGAGGAGAACCATGCCATGCAGGAGAAAGCAGAGGAAGAGTACAGAGTGTACCAGCCTCAGCGTACATGCACGCTTGGGTCACGATGGCGACGATGGCCACGATGGTGTCGGCGGGAATCTCGGTGATAATTTTGCTAAATGTTTCGAAGTTACCTGGAGGTATACAAGAAGATACCTGCCTACAGGCAATTTAATGTTGCGGACGGGATAAAGATACCTACCTACCTCTACCTACAGGTAACGAATGAGCGGGCGAACGAACGGACAGACGGACGGACGGACGAATGAGCGGGAAGGGAGGGTGTGCCGAAGAAGCGATTCAAGAAACGGATTGAAGCGAGCGAGACACCGAAGATCACGGGGAGCGAAGAAAAAAAAAATGAAATTGACTCCAAGTCTGCTGCAGTAGCTCGCTTGCGATTGCTGGGTTGAGGGGTTGAGCATTTGCGGAGGCAGAGGATGTCTGAGGTCAAGTGACAGAAAAGAAAAAAAAAAAAATCATTGGGGAGGGAAAAAGAAAAGGCTAGAACCATGAACCAAGCTTTGATGTTCCATGTCGACGACGACGGCGGTGAGGCCCAGCCAGCGAGGAAGAAAAAGAAGAAGAAGAAGGTAACAAATTGGCCTGGCGGATTAATCGACATCCGATATATTGAACTTTAGGTAAGATCAATACGTGTATAGTCATAAACTGGATCTCGAGCATGTCGAATCTTCGGAACGGTATCGCATTTCGAAATCAATGTGTGGTGATTGATGCCTGGGGAAGGATAGAGGTATCATGTCGACATTGAGTCTGGTCCCGAAACAGTCGTTGAGCTGAAACCAATTGTTAAATCAACCAAACACCACTTTTTCTGCAAATGTGACGGGGCATGGCTTCTATATCGAGTTTGGCGATTTCAGCAACAAGATGGAAGCCAAGCCGCCAAGCATTTATGTGTCTCCTATAGAGGAGCTCTTCCAAAGTTCCAAGGCTTCTAGACTCAGAAGGCGCGGGAGCGGATATGTACGACACGTGAGGCGCAAGCCGGCGCAAAGTTCCGCTTGTGATATGCAACGTTGTAGTGGCAGTCTCATGCAATCGGATGGTATGGCTAAGACTTGAAGGGAAAGAAAGCTGAAGCCAAGCAGTCAGTACCTGCCTTCCGAACTCATCCATGACCATAGAGGTAGTACAATGAGCTTTTGACGTTCCAGACTCGAGCGTCTCGGCAACTTCATGATCCGACCGGATATGGCGGCTTCTTCCACCTCAGACATGTTGCCTATTTCCACCTCTTTCCATTGCCATCATGAGATCTTTCGCCTGCCTCATGACTCCTTCCATGACAGCCAAGAGCTGACTGGAGACAACAGGTCTCGACCACCTCGGAAGCAATTTTGAGTACGAAAAAACACGCCTGAGCAACGCCCGCGCGGACCCCGGATCCCGACATAGAAGCCCCGGCCTCGCGCCTCTGGAGATTGCCTGGCACCACCGAGCGAGCGTCCTATTTGTTTTTTGTTTTTTTTTTTCCCGGCGGCGACGGTGGCTGATGAGGGAAATGAGTGATGGCCAATACCGGGAAGGGTATCACGTAAACATTTGTGGACAATGATGGACAATGAGCTGGGAGATTGAAGGAGGACCGGCGTTGCTGGACATGTTGTGCCGTTCGGAAATGCTCGGGTTGGATTCCCGCTGGCGCTGTCTCTAGGTATGCGATGAGGTCGCCGTTCTCCTGCTGCGTGATCACCGGTCGGCTAGGTAGTGTACAGATAGAGTTCATTTTGCGTCTCGTGTCCACGGCTCCGCCATGGCAAGGGGAGGAAGCCTCTTTCAGCTCGAGAGGAGGCTCTGGAAAGGGGGACGGGTAGGGCTATTTCTCCGGATCACTGGATCAGCAGCGATCAAGATCTTCAGGGGAACCCGTTCATTTTGGGTCTGGTTTGAGGCCTCCCAAATTTCCCTTTTGCCTCTCGGGGCGTGTTTAGTTGTTTCTTTGTCGCTGCTGTTGAAAAACAGCATGTGCACAGCACGTGTGTAGCCGCGTTTATCATGCAAATAATCGTTTCATTCTATTCTTTGTACCCGCTCTCGATTCGAAACAGCGGCTTAATGGCGATCCTTGCTGATCTTTCGAGCCAGCGGCTCGGTGTGGTGGGCGGGTGGGTGCAAAGCCGAAATGTGTGTCATGAAAGGTGAAACGCAACTAAAAGGCAGATTTCAAGATGCCAAGCTCTGTTTCCTGGGTGTGGTGTGGGCGGTGTTCTGGACTTTTGGGGCTTTGAGGGTGGGCCTGCATGGTTCTTTTGAAGTTTGAACGAACTGTGTTTGCCTGTCTCTCAGCGGCGTCAGCAACAGCGTCTGGTTCGTGATTTGCTCAGTCACCGGACGGACACATAGGCACCTAACCTTCCAGGTAAGTACCTCTACCCAGTTCAAGTTGTCATCACAACCAGACTCTCACCGAGGAAGAACTCGTCGTGTCTTCAAGGTAGGTACCTAGCTTTTGGCCAAGAATCATGAACTCCCATCGGAATATTACTCTGAACCCTCCATAAGCGCCAGTAAAATCCTGAAACGAGAGATAATCGCTGATCGCCCAACGTCAGATTTGATTTAATTCCCTAAGCCCCAGATTCATTTGGCCGACTTCCAGATTCTCGGGTCGTGTCCGAGCTTGCGACAGGTACATCTCATAATCTTCCTTTGTCGGAAAGACGGTTCCTCCCGCTGGCCTGTGTTTTGATTTGGCCGGCTAAACATCGGTACGGAGTTTGTACAGTAACACCCATGTGTGTACGCGCACGTAATTACGGTATCAACCGCGGCGGTCGGGGGGGTGTTCGGGGCCACTGGCCGGGATTCCATTACTGGGTCGCGGGGGTAACTAGAGGTAAGAAAAAAAAAAGACACCAAAAAAAAAACCTCCAAGAGATCCACTGGAGGTCCTTCAAACATGTGTAATCTGACGACAGACAGATTTAGTGAAATTAATATTGACCTCAATGTGCTCACTGTGGCATCAAACCTCAGCTGTTGCCAACTTGCGCGCAACTGATTGGTGCTTTCCCGCTTTGGCATTTATTTTCTTTCTTCTTTTTATTTCTCTGAAGCAGTCGATGCCTCTGGTTACTTGGGATAGCCCTTCAGTGTCGGGCATAAAAAACCACTAGGATTCGATTTCACCGCCCAGGACTGGACCGTCACACAATCGGTGATGAGATTTGCGAATCGAGATTGTAAGATCTACTCTTCAGCACTGACAGCAATGTTTCAGCGAGAGATTCAGCTCTTGGGTAATGGTTCTTTATCCAAAAGGGTGAATTGTACAGCTCGATGCAGTACATAGCCATGCAGTGCAAGTTGAAGCCGGGTACAGTTCGATTACTCGGGTGGTGGTGGTGGTGGTGGTGGTGGTGGCTGATGGAACAAATCAAGGAACTTGCGAGTTACCAGACGGTTCTGATGAGATCCAAAAAAGCTTGTCAGCAGTTTGCGCTGAGTTGGGGTCTGGGCTTTGGGGGTCAAATGGTGGGGTAGGTAGGCGCCTCTAGTTTAGCCAAAACCCATCAACAAGACATCCATGATGTTTTTGAGGTGTTTTGCTTACGACGACGACAGCTAGTAAAGACGTCGGTGCGCCGGCGGTAAATGAGTGCACCGTCGAGTTTCAGCTCCAATAATAATGCGGATGGTAGCCTTTGCGAGGAACAGTCAAGGTCTCATAGATTAGATAAGTTGTTAATGAAGCGTTGAAGTCATCACGCCGTCAGCAGGGCAACATCTGCCGGATGAACAACCCTTCATGGCCGATGATGTCGTCGTCTCCCGCTCCTGTCGGAGGACGGACAGGCCGGAGAGGTCTCCATAAGGTTAAGGTATAGTCGAGCAGAATTCGGTCCCGCTAGGGAAAATCGGGGTCGACATCCATCCACCGTCGGTGCAGTGACCAATCCTGCCCACCTTCTATCCAGGGACGAGATATCGGACCAGGGGGAGCTAGGCTTGGCCAGGACAAGAGGCGCAAAATCATGATCTACGTTAACAGAAGCTGCCCGGAATTTGCCGGTGGATTTGTTATTTGATACCTTGGTCCTTCGCCGGTTGCTGACCACAAAGCTCCGGTAATAATGGAACCCTCGGCAAAGGGCCAAGATGAATACGAACAGAGTGGATGCGGGCAGTCCAGGCCACAACGCTATCTTGGGGAAGTTTCATGAAGCTAGGCATTTTCCATATCGCTCCCCCGGTCACATATTGTATGGTGACTCTACATAGTGTAGCTGTGTGGTCGTAGATGTAAAAGGTAGGTAGGTAGTGTAGCAGTTGGTAGATCTTAGAATGGCAAGCTAAGCTCCATCAAATTCTGTTTCACGGCTCCAGCTTGTTTCAGCCCAAATATGCAATGAACCGCAACCAACCCGTCTGCTTGGCGCCAAAACACAAGAGGACATGATGTGGGATGAGATGAGGTGTGCTCAAGGAAAGCCGGGAGAGGATTAGTTCAGGGTCTGGAGACGATGCTATCCGGAATGAAGCATTTCCAGGTTCGGCTTGGTTTGCAGATTAGTGTACTTTACACACACCTTGAGCGTTCGGAGCACAACATCATCTTGGAACTATTGGCGAGGAAATAAGGCATCCTTGCTGAGTCGGCAATGTTTTGGGCATCCGTCAGACAAGCATATCGGTTGGGTGTGTCTCATAGGCTGGTGAGACAGGAAAAAAGAATAATTGAGGTTGATGATGAGTGCAATCGTTTGGAGGTTGGTGTTGGTGATGATGGTGATGATGATGCTCGTACAAAAATTGATGCCTGTGTACAGTAGAGCTAACAAGACACGGCACAAATTGCTTACACATCTGTTAGTAACACTGTCTCCTCGGAAATGCTTTCGCGTGTCTACCTCTACCTACCGCACGACGTGGCCGCAGCCTGTGTGGACTGGGAGAGTTGGCGGGGGAAGGTGGATTGTACAGGCCCATAAAACGCCGTGGGGCCAGCCACTAACACGGCGTACCGGACTGGAACGGACTGGTACTGGTCTCGTAACTGCAATTTTGCACCACACTAGAAAGGTAACGACGGGCAAGAGGTACCTACATACTTGGGCAGCCAGCCAAGAAGGGCACAAGCAGTGCATGCCTGCCTTTGTAAAAAGCCTCCTCTGGTGGTGGTGCCCTTGTTGACCAGCTTGCTGCCGCATGACGTCGGTAGATCATCGACCCTGCCGACCGACCAGACCACGACGGGACCGTCCACACCAGAAAGGGCCTCACTCAAGAAGACAGGGGTCGATGGGGCTTGCAGCGGCCATTACTTCATCGTGAGAGCAGCCAGGAATGCCAATTTTGGGTTCCATCCGGTGCCATCCTGGGCCATGTCGACATCAACGTTGCAGCAGGAAGCACGGCGACCATTCAGGAGTCAATCTTGAAGGAGGACCCGGAGGGGGGGTCACGGAGTGGGACACAGAGCACGGAAGAAACACAAGGCCCAGCCGACCAGAGGGCATGGGCTTGAACATGGACGAGAGGCAGACATGGATGGGGGCATAGCCCGGAAGAGCGTGGGCAGCCCGATGCGTCCGGCGCGATATATTTCTGATCCAAGTACCTTGACCTCTCAAAACTCAAAATATATCGCTACGAGCCTGTCATCAGATCAGCCCTCTGGAAAATTCTCCTATCTACTACCCCCAGACCACCACAACCACCTTACCTAATCGTTACCAGACGACAAGCACAGCAGCATGGGACACTGACACAAGACGACACACTACTATATATGGATAACCCGGCTTGTCCATTGCATTGATGAGCTGACCAGAGAGTGAAAGGGGCTTCATACAAGCAGCTGGGTGCCTTTTGCATCTTCAGCTTAAACCCCTGATATCTTAGCTAGCCGAACCGACTTTGACACGGTCACGCATTTGCAACTCTTGGCAGTTCTTTCCTGCAGCAGCAGCAGCAGCAGCAGCAGCCTTTTACACCCACATCCGGACCTCGGATCTCCCATCTTATTTAGGCCGACACGAATCGGGAAGGAACAGAACAACTCGAGAAGGAGCAAAGTCTGCTATAAAACCACCGAGCCCTGCCAGTGATCATCCACATCAAACAAGCAAGCCCTACCCACACACCACAAATTTGAACCACTACCACGATCGCGGACCTCCGACGACAGAGCTGAGTGATCACTGGGCTAGGTTGTGTTTCTTACCTTACCCGACACACACCACACTTGCAAACGGGCACACACACGCACTCCCCACCACATCTCAGACATTTCGATACCCCCCCGGCTGGCCGATCGAACACTGCCTGGCTGCGCCTGTTCGCCTTACCCAAGATCACCAACCCACAGAAGGTTTCTTTTGGACCGAGACGGACTAATTCCCAGCGTCTCCCACCTCCTTCTCTGACCGGTCGAACTTTTTCTTCGCTTCTTTCTCCTCGCTTGCGACGAACTGAACAAAACGAATCTTCCTCAATCAAGCAAGGAAGGAGATTTCCATTTCTATTGCCATCCCGTGGTCACTTCAAGTCGACGTAAGTTTGATGATCTCCTCTACCTTTTTGGCACCTTGGCTGTGAATTCGATACTTGATCAACGTTGTCGAATTGATGCCCCAAAGTCCTCGCCCGCAAAAAAATCTGCGGAAAACAAGTTGCTAACAGCGATCCCCCAGATCACCACCAACTGTTACCTACTTCTACCCAAACAGCAGTTGATCAGCAATCGCTAAACTGCAAACAAGTAACCAAATCAACCAATCAAGATCACCACACAACTACCACTCCAGTCACTCGCCAATCGTTCAAAGGCAACTCAACAAACCGAATCATCCAAAATGTGCGGCACCAAGATCTCGTACGCGTGCTCGACCACGCTCATTTCGCAGTCGACCACATGCTCCTGCGCAAAGGTCATCGCCTGTGGCAAGAGCACACTCTACTGCGGCACTTGCAGCCACCCTCGGTGTAAGGAGCTCCGAAGCGAGAGTTCGGTAACGGTATAGGAGTAATGTGACGGCGGGCCCGAATTTCCCACCACGAGTCTTGAGTTCTGGGGACTCGGCTCGTCATCGAATCTACAAAAGCAGAACTCCTGGCCGGTACCAGAACAAGCTAGAACACAGACGAGACAAGAAGAAGAAGAGGGCTTAGAGAGCCAGAGCAAGCACACAAGCTAGCAAGCATGGAGGAGGAGGAGCAGAACTGGAAGCCAACCTAACCCAAGAGGAGGAACACGGTGGCACAAACGGGGCGGATTGTGTAGGATACAGCAAGAAGCATCACAAGCAAGCAGTAGCAGTAGCACGATAGATGCGCTGCACGGTGGTCATCGAAGTCAGGAAGAGGCACAAGCCCACCGACTCGTAACAAGACCAAAAATATGGATGGGTTTAACCTGGACGGACGGGCTGGCGGAAGGGACGGGCGGACGGGCTGGCGGATTATACCTTGGGGCGCTCGGGATACATTTGTTATGGGCAGTTTGCAATTTGCAATGCCATCTTTTCCTTTACTACTAATCATGTACAAAATGGCATCATTTTCATACTTTCATTCTACTGCATCTGCATCATCATCATTCTCATCATTATCCTTATACGCGGTGACTAGGCGGCATTTGATTGATGTTGCTAGCACCTGCTACTTTTGTAATCATCATCATCACCATCATCATCACCATCATGGTCATGGGGTTGTTGCCATTCATCTCTTGTGGCTCGGCAGTCTGGTCACTGGGTCGGTCGGATGGAAGAATGGGGTTAGGCAGGCCGAACGGATAGGCACGTCACGTCAAGGCTGGGTGATTGGGCTGGGCTGGTTTCGGCGGCGATCAACGGGGAATTGCACACTGGGATCGGGACTGGTTTCCGGAAGGGCCTTTGGGGGGAAACATACTAGCATAAGGTAAACAGCAGAATGGATCAAAGTTCGGCAAGTCTGGCAGAAAAGACTCCCTTGTCAAATGGACGAAAGAGGAGAGAGGTGCGGGGAGGAGGGGTACCGAAGATCTCATCTCTCTGTATATATACGTAGGTGTAGCTAATACTGGTGCTGTTGAAGGAATTTTTTCCTCTTTGTTTTATTGCCACTATCATGTTTATTTTAATTTTAATGTTCTTCTGTGTCCCTTGTTTTATTTTCCATTGTTTCCTCTTATTTCATTTCGTGCAAAATCAATCCATCAGCTCTTCGACTTCACCTACCTTTTTGTTTGTGCATTGTCGTGATGCCTTCACTCGTTTCAGCCATGTCTGGGTGGTGCCGTGGATCATCGACTTGCCGACTTGAAACCACTCAGCTGGGTCAAGCTCGTATCCATGCCACCCATGCTTCCCCTCCCCTCCCTCCCCTAACTAACACACACACATCCCAGGAAGGAACCTAGGTCCGTGATCAACCAAACACTATGCACTGCACCCAACCAAACCAAACCTTAACGTGATCAACGACATGGATGTCCACTTATAACCGGGTATACACCCCGAACACTTATCACTAACAAAGAGGGAAAAAAAAAAAAAAAAAAAAAAAAAAAAAAGTCACACACAGGTCCCGATCTTGGCTTTCTTGAGAATCCGGGTTGTGATTTGAAACTTGAACCAGAATTTTTGCTAGGTAGGTAGGTAGCGTAGGGTCAAAGCTCTGCCGAACGGCACGTGTCCTATTACACCAGGTACACCTCTTGCATGGATGTAAAAGCTTAGCGTGGTACTGTCATCTGACTGACGATATACACTTTGAGGATTGGGAAGTGACAAAAAAACAACATTCATCTTTTGTATTGAACAAGGTCATCGTCACTTTGCTAGGTAAGTAGGTACTATTCACTGCACTAGACTAGCAGTTTACACCACGTGCCGGCAGAGGTTTGGTGAAGGAAGACCAGACCTCGGATCGTAGGTCCGGACCAGATGGGTGTGTGTTTTTTTTATGAAGCAAGACAGGCAAGCTGGAAAAAAGACGGTAATAGAAGGGAAGCATGGCAGTGGTTCAAATGCGCGGACTTGCGGTGCGGAGTGCGGGTGTGCGGGTGTGCGGTACGGTCGGTGTTCAGTTCGGTTACAGCAACCAGGTCGTTGGGGAGCACAGTTTTTTTGGACCGGGTTCAATGGATGGGTTGGGGAAGGTCTAGAACGGTTTGGGCCCAGCGCGGATCGCGGTAGTTTAAGCCTCAAAATCAAGGAGGTGGCGATACCCGAACGATAAGAAAGCCTGATGGTTGTTTTGGTAGGTGTGTGGCGACGGGAGCATGACGATCTTTTCTTGGAGGGCTTGGATGGATTTCAAGGCTGGCAGCTGAGGGGTGGGGAGTTTGACGATCTTTTTCTTGGAGGGCTCAAGTTGGACTTTGGGGCTGGCAGCTGAGGCTGGAGAGTCAATTGACTTGGCGATGTGGTCGTGGCCGTGGCCGTCGGGCTGGTGTGTGTGCGCTGCACGATACACTACTTACCTAGGTGTGTTAATGGCTCTTCCAAGTGCGAGGTGAAAGCGGGCGGGCAGGGTGAGAGAGCTGGAAAGGTGGTTGTGGCTTGAGGACTGTGAAGTTGATTAACAGAAAAGACCGAGTTTATGAAGCGAAGCCCTACAACCTACGATGAACAGCTGGAATGAGAGAATATGCGATGGAGTTCAACTGTTTGTTTTTGTCTAGAAGCGGCCGGTGTTTCCTGGCTCGGTGGACTTTGGCAATTCAAGTTTTGGGAAAGCGCTGGAACTGTTTCACTTTGGACGTATAGCTCAGGCGACCCCCCCCCTTGTCGGACCCACAGATTTTTTTATATATATAACCCTAACCCGAATAGCACATACATTAACGTACAACGTACAGAGTACTTAGAAATACATCGTATTATTACATTTTTACAAGGTACGGGTTACGCCAAATATATCCTACTAAGCAGCAAAATAACTAAATCAACACATTACAACCTTCAACATATCTATAATATATAGCGTAAATAGAAGGGGTTACTAAGTGCTTATATACTGTTAGGAACGTAGGCGAAAGGTAGGCTGAGGTGACTACGGTCGTGGCCATACGTAGGGGACGGTAAGTTAGGGGTCAATTTAAAAATATATTAATAGCTACCGACTATAATAAGATACGTTCCGTTAAACCTCTTTTATACTTGTACAAACTCTATTCATCCGCTAACGAGCATTATAGAACCTTATATTAGTTTAACGCTTCGGCGTAATGTTGGATTATCCTTCTTACGAGTCCGACCTAATATAGGCGTTATTGTAAATAATCCTATATTTTAATTAATGAAGGGGAGTGGTAGCCGTTGAAGTACTTCTGTATATAGGTTCTTAGCCTCCTAATATAACCCCCCCCCTTATAAGTTCCATCCTCGGAACCTTTATAATAAATATCGGGTACTATAGTATTATTGGATATTATTCGTTATAACTACCGATACTATATTCCGGATTATAACCGCTCTACTATTAACGAACCGCCTACTAGAGTATTAATATTATAATATTTATTCTTATAAATTCTAATACGGCCCCGAAGCTGGTATTAGGTCCAAAGAGCTAGCATTCCGCCTACTAGAATATCGGTATTATAATATTTATTCTTATAAATTCCAATACGGATACAAAACCGGTATTAAATTTAAAGTATTAGTATACCGCCTGCTAAAATATTGGTATTATAATATCTATTCTTATAAATTCTAATATAAATATAAAACCGGTATTAAATTTAAAGTACTAGCGTACCGCCCGCTAAAATATTAGTATTATAATATCTATTCTTATAAATTCCAATGCGGACACAAAACCGGCATTAAATTTAAAGCGCTAGCGTGCCGCCCGCCAGAATATTAGTATTATAATATTTATTCTTATAAATTCTAATGCGGATATAAAACTAGTACTAAATTTAATAGAAGCGTTAGTGTACCGCCCGTTAGAATATTAGTATTATAATATCTATTTTTATAAATTCTAACGTAGATATAAAATTAGTATTAGATTTAAAGTACTAGCGGAATTCCCGACCGTTACTAAGATTGTTATCCTGTAGGTGTATAAGGTAGTAAATTTCGTTTTATCTAACGAGGAATATTACTCTAAATTTAAAAGTATTAATAAATACTTTAAAATACCAATATAATTATACTCTATAATTCCTCTCCCCGGATACTCTCTATTATCCGTACTCGTAGTACGGCTTAATATTTTCGTAGGGTACCCTCTATTATTTATACCTACTTTAGAATACCTATATAATTAAAACCCGAAACTCCTCTTATAGGCTATTCTCTATTATTCGCACTTATTACGATTTACTATAATACTTAAATACGATTCCCCTCCTTATAGGTTCTATCCTTAGGACCTTCGTTTCTATCCCCCGCTTCCTATAATTCTATATACTACTTCCTTTATAAACTTCTTTTATTTATATTATTCCTTCCTTATTACTTTCCTATTACCTTCGCTTTATTCCTTATATTATTCCTTCTTTTCTAATAGTATAATTCTTAATTATTTCCCCCATTCTCCCTATTATAATCCGAAGTATATACTTTCTTATTTTCCGCCTTTCCCTCTTACCTTCTTATAACTATTATTATTATTTATTCGTCCTATTTTTCCCTTTTTAATTATTACCTTCGTTTTATCCTTTTATTTGCCCCCTCTTACTATTTATATAATTATCTAACATTCTACTTACCCTACGTTATTTTATATTCGTCCGTTTTAAATTATATTCGTTTACTTTAATTTATATTTATATAGGGACCTCCTCCTTCGTTTATATAACGTCCCTTCTACCTACCTTCTTTACTTCTCCTTTCTTCTTCCTTCTATTTTTATTTTTATAATTATATTTATTACCCCTTCCCCTAATTCCGTAGTTACTTCGCTTACCCCCTCGCTTAAACCGCCTTCTACTATAAATATATATATTTTTACTATATATTTATATACTAATCCCTATTTCCTTTATAAGCTCGATTAGTATATTCACTTTTCCTCCCTATTTTCTTCCTTTTTACCTTATCCTCTCCTTCTTTTTACTTTATACCTGTAATTAACTTTTAATCGGCTATTCCTTTCCTATCCTTTAATAATATCCGTCTCTTTATTTATTTAGAATATAGTATTATTTTAATTTAAGTATTTGTTAACGCTCTAATTTTAAATTTATACGAAGTATTCCGTTTAATTAGTATATATATTTACTAGACTAAAGGTACGCTATCTTCCCCTTATTATCTCCCCCATTTTTTTTTTTTTTTTTTTTTTTTTTTTTTTTACTAACGTCTTCTCCTTCCAAAATTCAACGAAAGATCGCAGTATTCGCTATTACTACGCTGCTACATACTCGAAATCCCCTGCGGTATTTATAATTTTTAGAATAATATATAGGATATAGCAGCCGAGATTATACGCCTTATTAATACTAGTAGCCCCCTACTTACCTTCTTTCTATAATAGTTATATTAGTTTATAATAGTATTTTAAATTATAATATAGGCGCACTTTATTAATAATAATCTCCCTATAATATTATTTAATATATTCTAAATTAGGAACTTCGATTATAAGGGCTATTCGAAATTTAATTATTATAATATCGGTAATACTAATATTAATATTAATCTAGTAGCCCCTACTAACAGTCTTATTACTAATAATAGCGGTTCTCCTATAAATATTTTTATACCGAACTCTCCTACTTATATTACCCCCTCCCCTAATTATAATTAAAGTCTTTAATATTAAATAGTTAATAGGAGGCTAACGTTTATAGATAGGAAATTAGATAAATTATTAGAATTCGTAAGGGAGGATTATAAATAAATAGTATAAAGTAGTATTTATAAATATTATTAATAGGTATAGTAGTATATAAGAATATTCTTCTTAAAGTTGTAAGTTCTAATCCTATATTGATAATAGCGAATACTATTAAAGATTTTTTTATTTGGGGCAATAATAGAAAATACGGACTATATTTTATTTAGCGCCTTATTAATA